CATAATACCTCAAAGATGAAGTCTTTTGCTCGAAATCCCCAGATGCACAACCTCCTTGGTCCCCTCCAAGCTGAAATCACCTCCTAGAAATCTGGATGTTACAAAACATATTGCCAGTATACTCATGCATGCCAAACCATACTTCTTGTAGACAGTCAAATTGATCAAAGCTTCCTCCACCTTTTTGTTCTTCCTTGAGTTCGTCGACCTCCAAAAGGAGGCGTCAATTTGGTGGTATGAATTGAGGATTAGGATTTTTGGTGATTATGCTGTTTATTTCCTCCGCTTCGCCTTTCGTTAATACCTATCACAAAACCCCACCCACCACCACATCCTCTTCTGCCACTCGGCCCACTCCTCTTGCAAACAACCTTCCTATCCCTTCTATTTTCTTGTTACACTATAGAATGCTGTAATATGATTGATTTCTGCCAAGTCTTCTATTGACCCCATGTTTTTCGTTTCATGTTTAAATTCTTCAATAATATTTGTCTCAAATCCAATTACACAGTTGAAATATCGATCACATCTTCAACTGAAACAAGCAAAATATTTGTTTAGGCCGTCTTAGTTCCACTTTCTAATTCCCAATTTAACTTCTTCTTTGATTTCATTTTTACTAATTTTGTCTTGAAACTTGCACCCGTCATGATGTTTGATATCATGATAATGTTTTGGCTTACTCCATGAAAGATATCAAAGGAGGAAAGAGGTTTATATCATCTGCTATCTCTTTTGTACGGTTTTCTAAGCCCGTAAAACATTTTTGTAAAATGTATAGTTGGTAGATTTTGTTTATGTTGCTAATTTAAGAGTGTTTATGCTAACTTTTGAAACATTTATACTAAGAACTTATAAACAATATTTTTAAGCTCCCAGAATCATTGATGTCGAACCTTTTTAAATTCTTGTAGAATACATTTTATTTCTCCCGGTAGATGAATTTCGAAGTTGGTCAATTCTTATAGAAGAAGCAAAACATCAAAGAATTTAGGTTTTTGAACGGCATAATAATATTTTGGTTCTAGTCTTTATTAATGTATTATTTATTACTAAACCACTAAAACTCTAGAGTTCTCTGTTAATACACAAGTTCTGCAACTTTCAATTAATACATTTCTAGCTTACACTATTTAGTTATCTTTTTTCATTTATCTTACATTAATTAGACAATCTAGAATCATTATTAAAAAAAGATTTGAAAATTTTAAAGAGTTTCAAATACAATACAGTACAAATAGATATCTATTATAATAGATTATAGATATATAAGTAATAATATTAAATGTGTTGTGTAAACCATTAAAACCAGTGGCGGAGCCAAGAATTTTGATATGGGTACAAACATTATCAATATATATTCTATGTAGTTATCATATCCCGGACATTAAAAAATATGGTACAATATCTTAAGCTGGGGGTACAATAATAGAACATGTTTACAAATAAATCTTTTTATGTACATCAAACAATTTTGGGGATGCTGTAGTACCCCCAACGTCCCATTTAGCTCCGCCACTGACTAAAACTCTAGAGGTCTCTTAATACACAAGTTCTACAACTTTCAATTAATACATTTCTAGCTTACACTATTTAGTTGATACCTATCTTTTTTCATTTATCTTACATAAATAGACAATCTAGAATCATTATTAAGATAAGATTTTGAATTTTAAAGAGTTTCAAATACAGTACAAATAAATATCTATTATAATAGATTATAAATATATAAATAATAATATTAAATCTGTTGTGTAGTTAAAAACTAAAAATTAACGATTTATAAGTATTTTGGATAGCTAAAGGTTTATAATTAAGATATATTTATAAGAGCGTTGAGTACGAACAACATGTTATAACACCCATAAATTTTCATGTCATAATTTTTATTTATTTTTTTTAGTTTTTTTAATTATAGAAAAATATATACATTTATAAAACATAATAAATAAATAGTAAAAAAACATAACATTTAAATTAGACATAACATCCAAATCTAAAAAGAAAAAAAAAAACATTATAGTGATGAACATATCGTCATCGTTATCGTCGGACGAGTCGAAAGAATCCATAATTTCTTTTTGAAGAATAAAATTGAAATTGTATAGAATATAGAAAAAGAGAAGAATTGTGTGAACACAATTAGGATATATAATATGTATTTATAGGTAAAAAAAAGTTAATTAATTATTTTTAATTAATGCCGATTGCAATTGTCAAAAAGGAACAGCCAATCAACTTTCTCGTTTCATTCCGTGACGAGATAGACCATAACTCCCCCTTAACGAGTAAGGAGGTGGCGTTCATGGCATCTTAAAATCGTTTTGCGAGCCACATCAACCATAACGGCTCTTTAACACGCAGATACCGAGTGCTCTAATATTTTATGTTATTAAAAATGTAACTATTTAAAATGGAGAGACGATATCGTCCGCCCTGGTTTTTACAAACATATAAGAAAGAAATTGGACGGGTGAGATTTATTAGATCCATAAACAAGGTCAAAATTCCTTTAGATAGACAATTTTTGCCCCTTCCCTCTTTCTGACGCCCAACTGCCCCTAACAAACCGTGCGATCTCTTTTTAAGTCTTTTAACACAACCTTAAAATCCATTCATGGCGGAACTATTTCAATCTTTCGTTCATCTCTAGTTTCTTCTCATCAGCCCGTTTCTCAGATCTGTAAAACTTCACTTTTTGTTACTATTTATGGAAATGGCAACAATATCTTCCAGCCCACGCTCCGTCGAGGAGATCTTCAAGGATTACAGTGCTCGCCGCGCCGGTATTGTTCGAGCTCTCACTTATGGTACGTACTTATTATCCTCCATGGGCTGTTTTTACTCTTTTTATTTTCACATTATAAACTTATTTTGAATTTTGCAACTTTTATTTGACTTGTTCTCTCTCGCTTGTTTGCAGATGTTGATGAATTTTACTCAAATTGCGATCCAGGTTACTTCACATACACACCCCCAGACTTTACTTTTATGATATGTAACCATCAATTTGGAAACATCGATTGCATGTTATCTACTTCATCGTTAACAAAGAATTACAGTTAAAACTTTTGATATTAACTTACTAGGCTGATAATTAACATCCATACACAGTCTTTGTAGAAATCGTGAACAAAGAATTGGTTGAATGGTTGAGTTTGGTTTCAAATCAAATGTAAATCAATTTGGACGCTAGAAGTGATAAAAATTTGAAGCTTATGAAAATTATTCCTGTTCAATATGTGTAAGCAAGTATATATTTGGGATTTGAAAGTGGTGGCGTGTGGTCTAGAAGTCAAGGGTATCTTTCTTTACAAAGGTATAGTGGTGTAATCTTATGTTGCATCTATGCACTTTCTGAGAGAAGCTTTATTCCAAGTTTTTCACACCACAAACTTTGTAACTGGAAGCACAGAAAAATTACCAGTCTTTCTGTTTACCTTTCAATTTAAAGCATTAATAAATGCTATATCATATACCCACTTGAAATCGATAGGATCCTTAATCTTTTAATAAAAATATTATAATTTATGACTAAACATAGTTTATTTGATAAATTTTATCATCTGTAGAGAAGGAGAATCTATGTTTATATGGACATCCAAATGAGACATGGGAAGTAACACTGCCAGCAGAGGAAGTCCCTCCAGAGCTTCCAGAACCTGCATTGGGGATTAATTTTGCAAGAGATGGAATGCACATAAGAGATTGGTTGTCATTAATTGCTGTGCATACTGATTCTTGGTTGCTATCTGTTGCTTTCTATTTTGGCGCTCGTCTTAACAGGAATGAAAGGTAAACCAATAACCATATTTTCACTCATTTTAACATTTTATAAAATATAAAGTCACATTGTGTTAACATTTGTAAAACCGACTTAAAAACAGAAAGCGTCTATTCAGCCTAATAAACGACCTACCCACTGTATTTGAAGTTGTAACAGAGCGAAAGCCCATCAAGGACAAACCAAACATGGATAGTGGTAACAAATCCAGGTCCAACACAAAGGTAATATTACATTAATACGTACCCCTCTCTTTCTGTTTCTCTCTTATTAATATCTAAGACATACTTTTGATCTTCAGCGGTCAAACGATGGTCAACTAAGAAGCACTCAAACGCCTTACGATGATAATTACGTGGAAGAAGAAGAAGAAGATGAGCATGGAGAAACTTTTTGCGGGTGTTGTGGCGGGAATTACAGCGGTGATGAGTTCTGGATTGGTTGTGATATCTGTGAGAGGTGGTATCATGGTAAGTGTGTGAAAATAACACCTGCCAAAGCCGAAAGCATTAAGCAGTACAAGTGCCCTTCTTGTGCCACAAAGAAGATACGCATGTAATCTTAAAACATTTGTCTTTTCTGACTGACTCAGAAAAGACAGATACGAAAGAAACGGAGATGGCTTTAGGTGGAGGCGTTGATGACGCAACATATGTGCTAATTAATTTAGTTTTTTCACTTTTACCCCTGAAATCTGCTTCTAGGATATAGGGGTTGTTTTTGCGGGATTATAAATTGAATGTTTTGTTTTTTGTATGTTTGATAATAGTTTGTTAGCCTTATTTCCATTATGTCGTAATGCACACAATGTGTTTGAATTTTGATAAAAGTCCTTAAATAGGTCCAAGTCCAACGGTGTTCTTGAGGTTTAAGAACAAAGGGTTGCTTTTTTACGTGGGTATGTAAAAGGAAGTTCTTTGCTGCAAGGGTTGAATCCATCTTGTTTGGTTTTGTTGCATTGAAAATATGGTTCCCCAAACAATGATCGAAAAGTTTACCATGAAGAATAGCTTCAGTTCATGGCAGATCAAGATGCAAACAGTATTGAAACAAGTGATAAGATAAGGTTTAAAAACCATAAATTTTGACATATTTTTTATAATTTTTCGGTAAACATATTATCTAAATAATAGTTATTAAAATTGAAAAAAAGATATCAATTTTAACCAATCCTATCATCCCACATGGATAGATCACGGTTGTGAGTTTAGATTAACTGGTGATTTGTTTCTTCTACGGATTGTATGTATTCTGTGTTACTCTTTTTATTGGGTAAACTACACGGACGGATGGTCCCTATGGTTTATGGTAATCTACGTATTAGGTCTCTAACAACTTCTTTTTAACTTGGACCGTCAGTATTTTATATTTTTGTTACATTTTTAGTCCTTATTTGTTTTAAAAAGACTGATTTACCCTTACTAATTTTTTTACATTTTTAAAATTATTAGTTAATTAAATGGTAAGTTAAACCTTTCTTAATAATTTATATATTATTAAGAATAGGGTCCCATACATCCTAGCTCCACCAAACCATGCCCACCGTCTTCATCTTCTCCGGTTGCATCATGAAAATATGTTGCATCTGTGTTTTGTTTTAAATATTAAAAAATTAAACCAACCACAATCCCCTTTTATATTTCGCCATCCTCCTTTATCCTAAAAACAAAAATCACACAAACAAAAATCTTCAAATTTACAGATTAGTGTCTTCGATTTTGTCAAGAAATATAAATCACAGCTTAAAAGGGTGTTTGAAAAAAAAAAACAAAAACATTCAAATCACAGATTATTGTCCACCTGTTGGTCAAGAAACACTCATCACGACTTAAAAAAAAAATCAAATCAAATCAACAATACTTCTCTGTTTTTTTACCATGATTTGAATTCAAAAATCTAACCGGAATCGGGTTTCAGATCGAGCATAAAGGGATGTTTCAGATCGAGGTATGTGGAATGGGGGCGTGGTTGGGAACTTGGGATCTTTTCTTCAAATCTTCAGGCGGTTCAAATCTCCACCACCACCACCGGACCTGAAAGTTCCGGTATCATCCGGCACAGGTTTCTTCCCCAATCTGAATTACCATTGGAAAACGAGTTTCTTCCAAATAATCTGTAAAAAAACCTACAGTAGACCAAAGAAATGGGGAGGGAGTGTCCTCCATATCTCCGATTTGAATCACCATCTGGAAACAGGTTTGAACCACCATCGAAAAACAAGTTTCTTCCATGATTTGAAGGCGGAAAGAAGCATAAAGCTTTCTAATGTTACAATGGTGGTTTTGTGATCAGAGGTGACGCTAGAAATTTAGAAGATGTTACAGGTGGTGGTCCTGTGACCTGAGAGGAAGTTGTGGGGAGGGAGTGATCGGTGATCGCCGAGAAGGTGGGGGCGCTGGTGTGGAATGGGTCATCGGATTCTGGTGTCTTATGTATGCATCATTGAGTTAGAAAAGCAAGAGAGATAATGGGTGACCGTATGATGTTGATGGTGGGGATATTTAAGAATTAAATGATATATAATAAATGATTTTAATTATAAAAAACCCAGTAAGGGCAAAACAGTCTTTTTAAAAGTGGTAGGGACCAAAACGCAATAAAACCAAACAAAAGGGATCGTCCGAATTAAAATAATTGTTAAGGACCAAACTCAACAGACTACCAAACCATAGGGTCCATTCATGTAATTTACCTTTTTTGTTTATTGTTTTATACAAGCTATAATTGGTTGGCTTGTGTACAGTGTACCAATACACATGCTCTTTCAGCCTTATTTTTCATATTTCTTTCTTCAAATCCTAAAGCAAATTTTTTAAGACCAGTCATAATTTTCTTTTTTTTTAAAAAGCGGAACATTTTGTTTGTTAATACTAAACCGAAAAATATTTACTTTGATTTCTCAACATCACATTATTAAATCTCGATCTGAATATCGGTCATTAGATTGCATAGCATGCAATTGGATTATGGCTAATGGCTTCCTAAGTGGCTAAGACTAAAGTTTTTATCATGATTAAGTTTTCTCCCAATGGAAAATAATAATCTACTAGTCTTACACATTTGCCCATGGTTCTAAAAAGCGCGCCATGGCGCGCCTCAAGGCGTGCCATGGCGTGAGGCGTGGTGTAGCCGTTACGAAAACGTCCAAGGCGGGTTTGTTAAGCGTGACGCCCAAATAACGTGTCAATGCGCGCCTTATCGCGTTATGGCGCGAGTTTTTTTCAAGGCGTGAGTTTTTTTTGTTTTTTTTTTTTTGGTTTTTTTATCGGGCCTAAAATAATTGAGTTTTTGTTAACTTTTTATATTAAATACTAATATTACACTTATAAAAACTTGATATACTTGATAAAATTCAATAATTATATGATTTATCTCTTTTAATATATATAAAATAGTCACGCCTTGAAAAACGTCATTACTCGCCAAAGCTTGTCATGACTTAACTTTGACCTTGCCGCCAAGCCACGCCTCACGTTATTTAGAACCTTGCATTTGCCATCTAAATCATGGAAGATAATTACGATTCAAAAAATATTAACATAAAAATAAGTTATTTGATTTTTTTAGACTATTAATATCGATGCAATGTCACTAATATTTCAAACGTGTCAAATCAATTTTTATAATTATCACTCACATCCAATAAAAATATAATTTGAAAGTAAACCCCATTGACACATCAACAACTAATTTATAATTTTTAAAACATATATATACTGTGACATCCCCAAATTCACGGTCATTTTAAAAAATTTATTTATACTTATTTGAAAATCAGAGTATTCATTTTAAAAAGTAATATTGCGGAATTTGTTCCTAGAAAACATGATAAATACGTTATCAAAGCATTTCCGAATAAATGTATTTTTATTCCTTTTAAAACATTGGGATGTCATCGCCAATACATAAACATAAGCATAAACAGACCTTACATTCATTTACATTAGTGATCTACATCTTTTAATCTCTCAGTATAATGTAGCTTCATATCAACACCTGTGATACAAATAAACTGAGTGGGTCAGGTTGGAAAACCTAGTGAGTACATAGGGTTTTCAACCCACAATAATAAAGTTATTATGTTTCATCATCAAACAATTAACTCATTTACCCATCCCCATTATCGTCTTTATTTCATACAGATTTGCTCTAAGAATCATCTATCATTCACTCATTCATTCCTAAGGATTCCCCTAAGGAATAGGCACGAGGTACATCGTTGCCAAGGTTTGCATAACATACACTAAGTCCATAGCTGCCAGGGATTTTAGAGTATATCTGGTAAACACGTAGTTCAAAAACACGTAGTTCAAAAACATCTGGTGAACACTTAGTTAAAAATACCTAGTAAACACTTAGTTCAAAAACACCTATAGGTTACGAGCCTGCTAGCGTTCCACTGGACTGTCTAGAATAGTCCGTGGTCGTCATCTATACTCCGCTAGATGACTGGATCATCTTAAACATCGAGACCTCTCATCATTTTATCACACATCAACTATTTCATTTACCCATGTTTTACACAACATTTTTGTAGATATAAAATACATATATAGTTTAAATCATTTAAAACATGTATAAATCATTCTCCAACATAGATATCAAGAACACAGATAATATGCACACATAACACGTAATTTATATTAAATACTTCATATCTACGTGTAAAATGAAAGTAACTATGCACTCACTTGTTAAAGTGATGATTCCAACTTGGATAACGCTTCGCTTCTTAACAATATAATTTCCTTTGTCGAAACCTAATATTATTACCACTAGATTTTAGTCTAATATTTATCGCGACTAATTACGAGCGATTTTGTTTTATAAGTGTTAAACAATACTTTTCAACCACTATGTACAGACAGGGGCCAGACATAAAACACCGGAGGGCAGGACCATTTTGGCATATAACACTTCTGAAATCCAACAACCCTATGAGACCCTTTAAACCAGATTCCCCGTACCACGAGTAGTAAAAAAATATATTATAATAACACTTTATATATTATATTTTATAATATATATATATATATATATATATATATATATATATATATATATATATATATATGGTTTATAAGTTCATAATAACGATAATAAATTTAAACATAACTTATACTTAAACTAGGGTAAACATAACTTAATTAGAATGTGGTTTTAGCTAGGAGTCGGGCTCTACAGGGGCAGAACTTCGTCGTTGAATCTTTCTAAAAAAGATTCTTGCAGCACTTCAGCGCTCACCTTACTATACTAAAACTACAGAAATAGAAGTCGAATCATGAGGGACCGAAATGTTGAGGGGATAAGAAGAGAAAGACTCTCGAATCAAGAGAAAGATGCAAGAAATATGAGAGCCTAGAGGCTCTTATTTATAGTAATGAATTTTCAAAAACTACCCTCTATAATTACTTAATGACCTTATAGTTATTTAAACGACAAAACACCAATTTATAATACTATTTTAAATAGATTTAATGATATTTGTACTAAACTAATGTCGAAAGTACTCAACACTAGTCTTATAATGACTGCATCGTCGATACCTTTCTAATG